AATGGAGACTAAAAGATACTGTCAGAGAGAGGGTGCTGGGAAGAAATGAGTGGCTAATCCCTTAGACGTTTTCAGAGGAAACATTCCAGAAAAATTTTCTCTAACCAACAAGGGCATAGGATGACACTTCTCCTGAGTCCTGCCTGGGTGGTCTGCAGCCTGAACGCGCTTGGGCCAGAGTTTGGGAAGCACCCCCACCCCTGTGGCATCTTTATGCACCCATCCCACATTCTTTAGGCAGGGAGGATACAGCCCTCAACCCGGAATTGTTTTTGGAGGTGTGGATTCCCCTCCTAGAGGGCCCCACCCATGCCCATTCTCCAAGTACAGACAAGAAGGGCAGGGTGGGAACAAGTAGCATAGGGACGGACTCTGTCATCACAGCACCTGTAGAAGGGCCTGGAGGGTGGCTTCTTGCCCTAGCCTCTTGGACAGGGGGAGGCAGCCCTATTGGACAGAGGGAGGCAGCCTCTTGGAAGGGGGGGGGGCAGCCCTCTTGGACAAGGGGAGGCAGCCTCTTGGACAAGGGGAGGCAACCACCTGCAGTAGGAAACATTTTGGCCACATCTAGCCAGGAGGGTGCGTTCTGATGGCCTTTTCAGGGAGCATCTGGATCATCACACGTGCTGCTCAGCAGGCCCTTCCTGCAGTAGGCAGTTAATTGTAACCTGATCACACAGCCCCTCCAGAGCCCACTTCTTGTCTCCTACCCCAGGGGAAAAGCTCCCAGGCTCCAACTGGTCTCTATGCTGCTTCCGGTGAAGGGACCAAGTAAGCAGTCCCTCCAGCCCCATGAGACTCTGGCTGCAGCTGTCCCCCATGCCTGGGGCCAGGGCTGGGGAAAGCCCAAAGACAACACAGAAGGCCTGCTGACAAGCAGCCCCGCAGGCCTCTTCCAGCCCACCCTGGGACACCAGATCTCAGGATCTGATCATCTTGTAGGTACATGTTCCTCCACCTGATTAAAAAACAAAACGTAGACCTCATTAGGGTCACTTTTAGGAAGAAATCAGATTAGGGATGTAATAGGCCCAACATGGTTATTGTTTTGTTTTAAGGTTTATTTTAGAGACAGACCATGCTCGCGTGCACACCCAAGTGCAAGAGTGGGGGCAGGGGCAGAGGGAGAGGGAGAGAGAGAAATTCAAGCCGACTCTGTGCTGAGTGCCAAGCCCAATGCGGGGTCTGATCTCATGACCCATGAGATCATGACCTGAGCGGAAACCATGAGTTGGATGCTTAACCAAAGGAGCCACCCAGGTGCCCCCAGGCCCAACACAGTATACTCTGGAAACTCCCTTCTGGTTTTCACCTTTCCTTCCCATCCAGAAACCTATCATGTGTGTCCAGAGTTAAAAGCTAGTGGGGTCAGAGGCCAGGATCCTGCCTGAACGTGCCCACACTTGTGGAGTCCCCATGAGAAAAGGGACTGTCCCTGGTGTTCAGGGAGTGTGTGTGGGGGGGTGTGACAGCTTACTGTAATGACAACACTGTCACACATACCTTGGTCAGCATGGAGTTGGCTCACCTGAGAAAGCAATCTTTTCAGTAATGCTGACTACAAATGTCCTGCCTCACTCACCCTTGTCCTCCTATAATGCTCCCTGACACCAGGCCCCTCGCTCAGCTTTAACACGAAGAAACAGCCTAGCCCAACAGGGGGCTCTGTGCACAGGCTGGGAAAGGCACTTGAAAGTCGGCGCAGCGAGACTAAGCCAGCTGGAAAAGGCACCGTTAGTCTGTGTTCCACTTTAATAAATAAACATCAACGTCATTTCCCTGTTGACCCTCAGACACAGGAATCGCCATATCTAAGACTGGATTCCAGCAGCACAAAACTGACCGGGCCTCCCATGAGGGTTCTTTCCAAAGAGAAAATGGGGAGGGGGGCAGAGGTTGTAGACCAGGTCCTTCTGAGGAGAACGAGTGGGTGGAACCATGTATAAGTAAAGATTTAAACAAACAGAATGCATCACCATGGAAACATTTGGCTTTTTCAAAAGTATTATTCAGAAAAATAAAGCAATCAAGACTTCAAATTCAACACTTTACAAGTGTTTATGACCAGAAAAGGCAAGTGGGTCTTGGATATTGTGCAGCCAAGTAAAAGCTGCCAGAATTCAAGGAAGAAGTATTCCCAGCAGGGAAGGGACCCATCATGTGTCAGGGATTTCTCTACAGTCCTCTGACTGGAGCGTTCTGCTCAGGGCAGGACCCACTTCACTCCGGTGGGGTTGCCATGACACAATTCAGGAGACCATGCCACTCGCTGATCAGGTCCAGGCAGACCTGCCATGCACTAGGGCAAGGTCGTATTAGCCATGGAGCCTGCAGAGTGCCACAAGGAAATGTCAGATTTATGAGCCGTGACCCAAACTTATTAGGAACTGTCCATGCCACCGGGGTCAGTGGTTTAGTCAACAACACAGATCATGATTTCCATATGGAGGATACAACCTGATGCTGGGTGCACACCGTTCTGAGGCAAGCTGCCTGTCGTCAAGACATTTTTAGCATACAACCCGACCCGTTTCTTTGGGCTGTCTGCTGACTTCAGTAGTGCTGTTGTTAAGTATCACAGAGAAGCCTGATGCTGAGTTTGGGTGTCATTCGGAGCCCCCAGAGGTACTCACAGATAAACATGAAGAGAAGAAGGGACCATGCATCCACCTCAGAGAGTTTGCTGGGATACCATCAGGAAACACTGTTCTGGGTCACAGGAAGGTTGGATGAGAATTTATCTAACTTGCCAGAAACTGGATTCTCTCCCCTCAAAATGAGCTTCCTTAGTTAAATGGCCAATTATGAGTCCAGTTGGCAGCACGGTTTCTGACTAGGAGCTGCTAATGTTGATCAGGAAGAGAGGAGATGGAGATGCAGATGCCTACCCTCACAAACAGGAAAGCCAGAGGACAAACAAGGTGGCCTGGTAGTCAGCTCTGCCTGTGAGGTCCCAGGGTGAGCTGGGTGGCCAGCTCTGCAGGAGCAAGTGCTGAGGTTCAGGCTCTCAGGGATGCCCAGTAAACTACTCTGCCTAAATTCATCATGGCAGAGGAAAAAGCACACAGTTTAAAGGATTCACCTGTGGTTTGAATTCTGGTTCTGCTGCTTCGAAGTCCTATTAAGTCACTTAACCCTTCTTGGGGGGCTCAGCTGCCTGGTCTCTACAATACGAAGAGCATCTCTTTCCTGCCAGGCTGTTAGGGAGGACACAGGATTACATGGAAAAAGCTTCCAGGACAGTTCCTGGCTTGTTATTAAAGCTCAAAAAAAGGGCAGCAAAAAACTTAAGTTGTTTTTCTTCATGCTACATTGTTATATTTGCTTCCTCTGCTTTACAAGTAATGTTGGCAAAGTAGCTCAGCCCCTAATTCCTAGTTAAGATCTATGGCCAGTAAAACATAGCCGGGTTGGTGCCATCACGGAGCATCCTTTGCCAGGTTCTGAAAATTTCTGTGCAGTCCTAAACCCTGTCCTTTAACTCCATGGCAAGGACCTACCTGTCATTTCAAAAGGGAGATTACCGTAGTTGTTTTTTAAAAAAAAGGTGGCGGGGGGTAGTCCCAGCATTGGGCAGCAAGAAACAAAAGCCAAGACTGCTGCTCTAAGCTGAAGAAGCCCGGGCGGTGGCTCAGGCTGTGGGCTGGGAGCAGGAACTCATTTCCCCGACAGCCACGGCTGTGATGAGTGAAGAGATCAAATGTGCAGCTGACACAAGAGGAGGCCATGACCCTACATTAGGAGGGATGCCGTGAGACTGGGAGCCATCTGCCAGTTCTTTCGTCTGTGTGAGAGGAATTTCCCCATGTCATGCATCAAACTCACAACTGAAGCTGGCTCTACCACCCCGGCCAGGTTTTGTTTAATAGGAAAACAGCTCGGAATTAGAGGTTTTATTTGATTTTTATGGCAATTTGCATCGCCCTCACTGAAAGGCTTGTTGTGATCCTCAGATTTTATAAAGCATTTAATATTTCTTACAGAAAGGAGCTATCCACATGCAAAACATTAAAAAAAAGTGGGGGGGGACCCCAATGCAAGAAGCCAGAAAGCTTGTCAGAGGGCAGGGCCCGCCAGGCCTGGTGTTGCATCTGAGTTCTGGGGAAGAGCCTGGCCAGCTTTTGGCACTTGACCACCATCACCGAGGCCATTTGTCTTCTAGCATGGAATGGAAACAAGATCAAAAGCAGGCTCTGTACATTTTCGCAGCAGGCAGCTATGGAAACTAACTCTCTTGCCCTGTTTTCATCCATTTGATTCCATTTTCTCTCGAGTTTTCCCTATCTTGGTTTGGAATCAATCCAGCAGCACAGTGCTCCTAAGTCGAGAGGTCAAGAAGACACATGATTTTATGATGCAAGAAAGGGCAGCCACTCTGTTCTGTTTTGGGAACCTTGGTGACATCATGGACTAACTGTCGAATCTTGGGAACTTGTGTCTAAGAGAGCACTGAGTCAGAAGAAAGCCTTCGTCACAGGGCTCCTGGAACTTCAGGTAAAGACAACTATTAGGTAACTGAGCCTACCTATCCCCAGAGGACTGCTTCCGCTTCTCTCTGGCTTGGGTTTAAATGACTCCAGTCATTCTCTAGGGGAAACTCATCTACGTGGGACAGCTGTCACCAGCTGGACATTTGCTGCTCTTTGGCCTAAATTTCTCAGGACATCACTCAATTAACTTCTCCCTCTGAGGGGACAGTTTTCTCTCATATTACAAGTATCCAGGCAGCTGCCTAAAGATGGCTGGGTTACAGGACATGGCCTCCACTCTTTCTTCAGAGGCCTGTAACCTGTCTGGGTCTGTCCCAGGAAGGAGACTCGGTTAAATAAAGTGCTCCCAGAATATGCAGCTTTCCATTGTGAAAGCACGCAAGCCAAGATGTTGAGGAGTCAAGGCGGACTTCCACAAGGCTCTGTGAGGCCACCTCTGTTTGGGTTTCGGCAGCTGTCTGCCTGCGGAGGGCTCCAGAGTCGCTGACACATATTTATATCCTACTTCATGAAGTCACAAGGAACAAACACGTGCGCGTTTACCCTGGAGGCAAAGCCCATTCATGTTGCCTCAAATGAAGCAGGGAGGGCAGGAGAGAAACTGCTTATGGACAAAATCACCCGTGAGCACAGCCACAACAGTTTTTAATTTGCCTAAAGAAAATACGTGATTTCAAGATGTGATTAGGGAGTACTGTTCCCACAGTAAACACAGTATGAACATGAACTGCTGGCTGTCATTTAACAGGACTCCAAGGCTGGGAAGCAAATCTCATCCTTGTCTTCCAAACAGCCACCCCACGAGATCAGCTGGACCAGCCTCTGGAAGTTTCTTTATAGCGGAAGGTTGGCTCAGTCTCAGCACAGCTTCTCTCTAAGATTTCACATCACCAGTGCGCCCCTCCAGGGTCTGGATAAACTGTCCGAAAGGTCAGGTTTATTCTTGGTTCTCTAGAGTGGTACTCTTTGGGCACTCGATGCTAAACAGAAATATAAATAACTCTGACATAAACACATTTATAACGACATGGACATATTTTGACTTCGTCCCCCCTCAACCCCCCATGAGCATCAATAAGCTCTTTGACGTCTTGCGGAGAAAGGTTTTCTTCTCTGAAGCAAATCTGCCCCCCCCATCACTCTGATAAGCCAGCGCCCTCACAGTGAGGTGTTTTGTTTTTATCTTTTCTAACTGTTGTTCTTCCTCGCAGCTTCCTGCCATTTTCCCAGATCTCATAAGACAACACATAAATGACTGAGACCAAAGGCAGGCATGAAATTCTGCTCCCATGCTAAGCGTTCTTCCATGAACTTGCACACCTTAAAGATGACCTGGCTTTAGAAGAGCACAGCCTAAGGTGAGAAGCTGTGCCCAACAGCCAGCCACTGGCTACCTGAAGCTACTGAAATGAATTTAAATTAAATTAAAAATTCAGTCCTTCAACACACTAGCCACATCTCAAAAGATCAGTAATAGTTGTGTGTGTCCAGTGGCTACTACATGGGGACTTAAAGAGATGCAGAGTATTTCCACTGTCACAGAAAGTTCTACTGGACGCCACTGCTGCAGAGGTCCATTCTGTCAGATTCAAAACTTGAAAATGGTATCACTGTACCGCCTCTCGCTCATGATAAAAGCAACTTGCTTTTTACCATATTTACTAGATAAATGAATAATCAGAAGCCGTCAGGGCCCTGCCTCCATGTGAATCCAAATTCCTTGCATGTTCTCACCTGCCAGTCAGCTTGTGTCGCTCCTTCCATGATTAACAAGGTCCCATGATCCAAGGGTATCTTCACTCTTTCCACATACGTGTAGTCTCCGTTCTCTTCCTAGAAAACAGCATTCATTGCACTCCATTGTTGGCTTGTGTGATCAAGATGCAATGGAACCTGACAGTGGTCAAGAAATGCAGACCCCTCCGCAGCTAGGCTGTAGGGGTTCATCTACTGGCTCTGCCCACAGCAGCCGTCTGGCCTGAGGCAAGTTGCGTCACCACTCTCTGCCTTAATTTACTCGTCTGTAAAATGGGGATGACGACAGGACCTGCCACCCAGGGCTGTTGTGAGCCTCCACAGATGCAGTCTGTGTAAGTTACTTGGAGACTGGCACATATTAAGTACGGTGTAAGTGCCAGATATTATTCTCATCAGCATCTAACATTGCAGAAGAGCCCATTCTGGCCTGTGAAGAAGTTAAGTCATTTATACAAGAACTCTTTACATCTGCTTTATGCTGTGCTCTGTGTTTTGCCATAGTCAGTGTGGAAAAAAATGGGCTTTTAAACAAGACATGGTGTGGTACGTTCTCATTGCCTTTTTACAATTTACGCTAATTCACTAATCGATGCCTATGTTAAAACTGGTTATGACTCTTCCTATAGCTCCTCTGGTGTCTTAGAGATACATTCTTGTTTCTTTCCAGAACAGTCAACAGCAAGATTTTCTTAAAGAAGGGAGCTCTGGCTTGACCAGAACAGGGCTGCAAACTGAGACTGGCTGTTTTAGCCTTGGAGCATAGGTCACAACTTCTGAGCACTTCAGATAGAAATGCCTTCTATTTACATTGCCCCTCTCTTCCAGAGAGCCCAAAGTCAATTCATCTCCAGTACTCTAATGAAGCTTCAGGCACAGCCTGCAAAACAGCCAATAGGTGGGGGTCACTCCTCCTTCGCAGTTGACAAAGGGGTGCAGTTGACAAAGAGCTTGTCAAGAGTTGAGACCCGAGCTTCCTGATCCTTCCTCTTCCATTCTGGGCAGATCCACCCATTCATCTACTTCACTTCTGATGCAAGGGACTGCATTTGGGTTACTGCAGATTGATTTCCCTGCAATACTGTGTTTATGTTTATTACTGTAGGGGTGCTTCTGAGAATACAACTATTTACAATGATTTCCCTCAGGAAAATAAAAATCAAAACAATAATGAACTTGCATAAACAGTTTAAGTTCCAGGTCCCAACCCTTGGCAGTGACTTTGTGCAGCACAGTCATAACTTTCACAGGCAGAAGGTAAAAGCAATGTTTGAAATAACTTTTGGTTTCAGTGATTGATTTTAACTGTGCCTGCCACCTTTTCTTCTCCAGTAGCAAGTAAGTGCTGAAGCATTAACCTCTGACCCCTCAGCCAACCAGGGAGCGGTGGGAAGATGACCCTGTCCTCGGGTGGTCCAGCTGCATCTCAGAGAAGCAAAAGGCGGCTCTCTGAAAAAAAAGGATTCCAACCAAAGGAGATGTATGTCATACTGGAGAAAAGATACCAGAAGGGAGTGCATTGTCCATGAGATTAGAGGGCTCAAGGCTTCTTGACTTAAGCTGTAAAGTTAGTTACCAGATCAAGGTTCAACATAGCGAGGAGCAGGTGTTCTCCTGCCCTCTGCGTACTGCATCCTCAGGGAGTGAGGCGGGACCTTCTTCTGTAATTCAAGCACAGACACAAGGACAGGGTCACAAAACGAAGAAGAGAGGAAAGGCGCTGAACCGGACATGAAGCCAATCCTGAGACCGAGATCTCTTCGAACAGGAACAACACTCCTGGGGAGGAGGGGGCACCAAGGCCAGTGGAAGAGAAGGGGTGAGCACTGTAATTCTGCCTGGAAACACACGGCGGGAAGAGAACCAGCAAGTGAGAGAGAATTCCATATGCAAAGGGGAAATATCAGCCCTGATGGAAAGTGATGTTCAACAGAGCCGTGTTTCACTTTATGTTCCTAAGATCTGAATTTTTCAAATGAGAGAAAGCCTCAGGTTGCTTTTAAACATACATTCAATATAACCTTTAGTTGTACCTAAAAGCAGAAGAGGGAGCTTCTTCACTTGGGATAGAGCTACTCTTGATCAGTCCCCAAAAGAGAGTGATACCCAGGGCACCCACTGGTATCATCACTTTGCTGCTTGCTATTTGTCCCCTCCAACATCCTTGGCTCAGAAAGTGCATTCCTAATCTGCAGGAGATAGAAAAGAGGGCAAGGGATTCTACTAAGGCAACATAGAGCTCACAAATGTGTCCTTCTGAGGTCAGAGTGCCAACAGACCCCAGAGCCACCCTTTAACTTAACCAAGACACACAAAGACTTTTCCCACTTAGGAAGCAGATAAAAGGCCAGGGGAGCTCACGTGGCTATGCATAAAGGCCCAAACTGATAAATGGATAAGCAACGCTGGAAGCAAGGGTCAGACTGTAGAGGAGTGCATTCACAGCCATTAAGCATGGTTAAGTTACCAAAACACGGCTCTGTGACCCTTTTGATTTACTCAGGTCTTTCTTCAAAACAAAACAAAATAGAACACACCCCTAAAAAAACATGGCTTAGGATAAAATTTTCCATCCATGATCCCAGTTAAAAGAGGCTTTTTAGGGGCGCCTCACTGGCTCAGTCAGTAGAACATGTGACTCTTGATCTCAGGGCTGTGAGTTTAAGCCCCACATTGGGCATAGAGCTTACTTTTTATTTATTTTTTTTATTATTATTATTTTTAATTTTCCATCTTTATCATTTTTTTTTTTAAAGATTTTATCCATTTATTTGAGAGAGAGAATGAGAGACAGAGAGCACGAGAGGGAAGAGGGTCAGAGGGAGAAGCAGACTCCCTGCTGAGCAGGGAGCCCGATGTGGGCCTCGATCCCGGGACTCCAGGATCATGACCTGAGCCGAAGGCAGTCGCCTAACCAACTGAGCCACCCAGGTGCCCAGAGGTTACTTTTTAAAAAGAGGCTTTTTAGGGTCACAATCAGTCTACAGGGTGGGTTTTGTTGTTGATGATTTGGTTTTCCACACGAAATTTCATAAGTAGATGAAAAAAGCAAAAAATATATACTTTTATATTAATTCTGATCAACACTCTCCCCTCCTCCCCAAGGACAGCCAGTTCATTAGAACATGCGACTATGATTCCCAAGGAGTGCTGGGCCTTCCTGAAGTTCTATACTCCCACCTCTGCCTCCTGACACAAGCCTATTTGGCTTCCTTTAGAAAAATGGTTATTAGGGGAAAAAGTCTGGGTATATTTGTCATTCTGTCATTACTAACCACTCAACAGACAGGAAACCTAAACATGTTTGTTTTCATTGGAAAGGTAACTTCACATTTTATAAGCTCTGTGTAGATTTTTCATGTAACTGCTCCTTTCTTGTCCTAAAAAGGTGTCTTAGAAATTACAACCAACAATCAGTGCTTGAAAATCAGCAGCAGCAGAGTTTTTCTCTCTACAGAATAAAAGTGACACAAGTTCACTAAAGTAAATGACACATGGAAATTACTGGTTTGATGCCTGCCTTCCTCCTCTCTGATAAACTCCATGAACAGAGGACTATGTTGTCTTGCCCTTTTGAAATATGCTCGGTGCCCATCACACACATCAATAAATATGTGCTGAATGAGGAAGAGCACCAAGAAAACATAATCCTATCATCCAGAATTCATGCAATGCATGTACAGGAAACTTTCTATATATAAAATTATGTACTCTACATTTTGAACGTTATATTGTGAGCATGTTTTTGCGTCTCAAATGTATGGTATTTCAGAAATGGGGTTATATAATATTCCTTTATATGAACATATCTTTCCTTCTTTAAACTTGCAAATATTTTTTGACCACCGTTATGTCAGGCACTGTGCTAATGCTAAGAATATAGCAATGAGGTACACACTGCTGGACACTGAGATTTTAATATACCAGTATTGTTTTAAAAAAAAAAGAAGAAAGGAAAGGAAAAAGGGAAAAGGGAAAAGGGAAAGGAAAGGAAAGAAAAGAAAGAAAGAAAGGCTACTACAAGTAGATCCCGGGCAAAACATTCCTGAGTATTTTTCTAAGGATATATTCTGAAAAATGGAATGTCTGGATCCAACGATATGAACTTTAAAGCAGTCTGACTTAGAGTAGCAAACTGTTTTCTTAAGAAGGTTGTGACAATTTATAATTCCATCAGGAAAATACTACAGTACTTACCTTCTAGTCACATCACCAATACTGAACATTACCAACTGACAATGATGAAAAAAAAATTTAGGGGAAAAGTAACAATTCATTATTCAGAGAGTTCTTTACTAACCCGGTTCAACATTTTTTCACATGCCTATTGGCTGTTTGCATTTATTGTATTGTGAATTCTGTGTTCACGTTCTTTGTCCATTGTTCTACAGATGTTAGTATTTTTCTTATTGATCTGTAACCACAGTGAGATATTTACCCTTTGTCATACTATCTGCAAATACTTTTCTCATTTGCTATTTGTCCTTTAACTACGTTGATATTTAACACAGAGTAGCTCAAAAACTTTCAGAGTCAACTCTGACCTTTCTTTGGTTCTCCTTCATGGTTTTTATGCTTAGCAAGTCTTTTCTCATATGGGGGAAGTTAAATATACAATTGCATTCCCTTTTTGGTTAACAAAAAAAAAGGTTTACATTTTTTTAGATTTAACTCTTTACCTGGAATTTGGCTTCCACCCACTCCTCCCCTGCCCCAAGGCTTCTTTTTATAACATTTTCCAAATACTTAAACCAAGGCATCCTGCCAGACTTTTTGGACAGGATCAACCACAGTGTATGCTGCCCAGGTGCCAGGCATGTTAGGAACTATATGTACATCATTGCTAATGCTCACTACAACCCTGTAAGGGAGGTGATATTTTCCATCTTATCATAAGCAAAGGGAGCTGAAGGGAAAGCACATCTCTAAGGCAGAAGGCTGGCAGGAGGAAGGCAGGGCTAGTATTTGGACTTAGACTGCCTAGCTCTAAAGCTTAAATTCTTTCCACTACATTGTGTTCTCCAAAGTGAACTCTATTCCTTCTGAAATTCCGTAACATTTCCTGTCCTTACTACATG